CTCAATCTTATGATTTATTATTATATTTTTCTCTCACTTTTCTCTCTCTCCCACTAATTGAACCAAAAATATTATTACCTAAGAATACAATAAAATGTATTTCTTATGGCATTTTTCTAGTCTCTCTCTCTCTCTCTCTCTCTCTCTCACTCACTCTCCTCCCTCTCAGTAGAAAACATACAAAAGCTCTCGAATAGTGATATTATTTAAGTTATAAAATGAATCCATTCGTAGACTTTCTCCAAAATTATAGGCTTTTGGCCTCCGATTATAAATTGTTTTCACGGGAAACATGTTTTCATATATCGATTCACGTTATGTACGGCTAAGACATGAACCAAAACCACAATTTGTTTCACACAATAAACTTATTCTTGTCAACAAAAATAATATTTAAAGAATATTCCTATTGTTGAATATATTTTGTATATTTAACAGAATATATTAAAATCATAGAACTATTATGTTTATCGTTATTATTAAAAAAATTTAATAATAAAGACATAAACAATTCGGTATAAGTTGCCAGATGTCTCTTATTTATTATGGTTAACCGCTAGTTTTGACATGGGCACTTTCAAATTTAACTACATTTACGATAAATATTGATATTATGTTAAACGATAACTCTTAAAATATATTTTAATATATAATTAATTGAAAACAAACTATTTTTAAACGAAGAGTAAAAATAAAGATCTACTATAAGATACAAAATATCGATTCTGTCGCCAATATATAGTGTTTTTGGGAGTTTTAACGATTTTTCAATCAATATTGTTATTATTTTTAGACTCGTTTTAAACAAACAATTTATCACAAACAATATGTGCTGAATCTACCATATTGTGGATCTACTGCACTGGCAATTGGCCCTCTGGCACAAACATAATGCAGTAGTACTCATAGTACTACTTATAAAGGCATAACATTTGCTAATGAACTGGTGAGAGACTGACCAGACCATTACCATCCTCATTGATCATCATATAATTTGATAGATAATGATATAGACATCTATTAATATAGAGTCGATTAAAATCTCATCGACAGTCACTTAATTAGTTAGTAAATGCCATTTATTAGGCCATAAAAGCAGATGTTAGAGCACATGGTGGTCCGCCAAATATCATACAATAACTTTATTTCCTATTGTCAGCGCAAATGACATATTATATGTTTCACTGCATTAACTCTAGCTCTATCTGATAAATAGGATGTATATAATAATCGAGTTAAAAGTTATTTTCAAGAAACACATCATAGATAACAGCTATCGGTCTATACGTTTAAATTGGATGTAATAAAAATAGGCAATATATTATTCCTATTCTTAATAATGCTAACGTCAATTGGTATTGGTGAAAAATATTGATCATGGTGAAAAAAATTAATATACATCACCTTTTAGTCTCGTCGCTGATATGGACCTGACCCGGCTTACTATTGCTCTCCATTTTATTGGCCAGCGTTACTGTATTGCCAAACAAACAATATCTACGAGAAATAAAACAATGAAATATCGGAATCAAACTTTTTATTTTTACTTTAATTCCCTTTACTTTGATTTCTTTAAACAATTTTTTCAGTAAAAATCTGTCAAAATATTGGATTTTGCGGAGAATTTATCGGATTTTTGTGGAAAAGAGATTTTTTGTTTTGATTTTATTTTTACTTTAATTCCCTTTACTTTGATTTCTTTAAACAATTTTTTCAGTAAAAATCTGTCAAAATATTGGATTTTGCGGAGAATTTATCGGATTTTTGTGGAAAAGAGATTTTTTGTTTTGGCAGAAATCAATAGTAAATCCGACAGTGAGCTGAGCTCATGGCTCAGACGACTGTCCAACAAATATCTACAGCCATATAAATACAGATAGAGAGCGCACATACCTCGGCATTTGAAGGCCTGGTTATCGCGATAACAGGTATTAAATAAAGGAAAGGGAAAAATAACAAAATGTTTTTTTGAGACAATTTTTTAATATTTCACAAGAAATTTCATAGTTTTGTTTGTTTGTCAGTTTGTTTGGTGAGGGCTTACCTACGATGCCGGCCATACAGGCACCTGAGTGTATGCCAATCCTCATCTAAAGGGAGACAAAAATAATAATGAAAAATAGCGCAAAATTAAACTTCAAAATAACATTTAGTTTGTTTTTCCTCTCATAAGACTAGTTGTGAAAAAATAATTTAAAGTGAATTTTCTTCTTTATCCTTATATTCCGGAAGAAAAACACTCAAGTCTTTAGACAAACGGATTGTAAAGTTGACACAAAACGAAAAATTATGTGCTTTTGTGTCTAAATATCACACATTTTGTGCTTTTTGTAGGAAATATTAGAGTATTTTTAAAGTATACTGTATTAAGGTTTTTGTGGGTATTTTAACACTAATTCTGTAAATTCTGTTGTAAATTGAATTTTATTTGCTTAACAAATACTGATTGCAATGACAACTGACTCTTTCTAATAATGATTTTCAATATGGTTTGCGATTCTTTGCGATAATACAACACCAGATTGTTTACAACAAGAATATTCTGGTTTTAATTGAAAACATTGTGGTAAATTAATTTTATAAATAATTCCTGCTTTACAAACAACAAGTATCGCTGTATTTACCGATTGAATAAAATATTAACCGCAATAAAGTGCTGGAATTGTTATAACATTATTAGCGGTTTTGTGTCTTAATCAGTATTCAAACCGCAAATCCAATTGAAAATCATTTTATAAAACTTTAATAACAAAGTCATTGACAAAACGACTGCACAGTGTTTGCTATAATTTAATAATAATAAGCGAAACTTATTTATGTTTCAATAAAATATATGTGATTTGATTAGAGATGGCATACATGGGAATCGATTTACATTAAACTCGTTGTGTTTTCAAACTAATAATGAATAAGTGAAACATAACACACATGTACTGTATATATACCCACACAGAATATTCT